GAAACTATTTTTATTCATAAAAAACTCCATTTTTGGAGGTATTTTGAAATTGGTCCAGCTCACTTAAATCTTATTATTTTTTCGAAATATTTTGTTGGACGTCTTAAAATATAATAGATTTTATATTCCAATGGAAAAATAGTACCTTTTTTTTTGTATGGTGAGTGATGCAGTCTAATATACATAAGTATATTTTAGTTTGCTAGTCTGTATAAAGGAAAGTCGAGATTCTTTGTACGCGGTAATCTCGGAAACTACTGAACGGATTTTCACGACATTTTTCCAATACACTCTGTATCGATAGGAGAGTGACCTTTTTCATTTAGAATTTTAATAGGGTTGCCACCTGTCTAAAAATATATAAGATCTGCACCGTTCGCTGGATTACAAAAGCTGAAGTGCCAAATGAAAGGGATGTGCCTATAGAAAAGCACAATGTTTTATCTTTTTGAATAGGGTTCAGTTCTGCACAGTCGCAGTCAAACGTAAAGATTTGGCTTCTAGATGTGTAATAATGGATTATTTTTCTGAGTAGAGTTGCCACCTAATAAAAAGTAAAAAGATTTTCACCGTTCGTTGGACTACAAAATGAGATATCAAATGAAAGGCCATTGTCTTCGCATGTGCAAAAACTTTAATTATTTTCAGTAGGGTTGCCACCTATTTAAAAATTACTATAGTATAATCTGTATCGATAGGAATATTATATTTAGTACTTTCCTGTAGGGTTTCCACCTGTCTAAAAAATTATAAGATCCGCACTGTTCGTTGGATTTTCAATAATGTATTAATTTATAAGATCTTCACCGATTGTTGGACTCGAAACTGAGGCACCAAGTGAAAGGGTATGGTCTCTGCATGTGAAATAAGTTTTCATTTTTTCTTTAAGCGTGTATGTATTGTGTATGTATAAACGCGAGGGTATTTTTTGTTAATGACTTTACATTTGTAGTGTTTATTCAATTTAAAAATATGATGTACCAAATGAAAAAGCTTAGTCTTCAGATTTGCAGTAAGGTTTTATTTTTCGAATCCCAACCTGTGCAAAAATTTAAAAAAATGTGGACTGCTCGTTAGATTACAAGAAATGCGGTGTCAAATGAAAGGGTTTGGCCTCAAGAAGCGCAATTATATACTATTTTTTTGGTAGGGCTGCTGCAACCTGTTTAGTTGTTAATCACAATTTATTTAATATCTACACATTCAGCGCGTTGCGAAGCCTCGCGCATACGAGGCACGCTAGTAATTCAACAAATAAATAAATAAATAAATAAATAAATTTGATTCTGATTTGGAGGGTTGAATCGGCCTTTCTGATTTGGTTGACGAATCAAATCACAAATAAAACTTATTTCTTTTTTGGTTGACGAATCAAATCACAAATAAAACGTATCTTTTATTTGGTTGACCAAGCAAATCACAAATAAAATTTATTTTAAATTTGGATGACAAATCAAATCACAAATAAATTTAATTTTTTATTTGGTCAACAAACTAAATCACAAATTAAATATATTTGTTAGTTCAAAGCGGATTTTAAATCAAAAAGGATTTAAAATCACGCAACCCTAGAATAGCTGCGCTTGATTGTAGTTGGCTTAACAAATGAAATAGTGGAAAAAACAACAAGAATTCAAAAGGCGAACTTCTACTATTTTTTCAAATTATTGCTGCTTTTCCACAATAAGTTTTTCATTAAAAACGGTCTCAAGCGCAATAACAATTGTTGAAGAAAATATTTAAAAAAAAATTATTTGTTTTTGTTATTTTTATGGCCTTATAACAATTATATTCAACAATTTTTATGAGCTTGAGGCCATTTTAAAGTGAAAACTTATTGTGGAAAAGCAACAATAATTTGAAAAAATGGTAGAAGTGATAGCACATTTCCTCATCAGACTTCTTTCAGTAGGATTCGAACCGACGATCCCCACTCACTCAGCCAGTTGCCTACGCACTGTGCAAAGTTTGTCTGTTTATTCTTGTTGCCTATTTTCCACTATTTCACTTTGCTAAGCCGAGAATTAAGAAGACAAACTTAGCACACTGCGTGGGCAACTGGCTGAGTCAGTGGTGATCGTCGGTTCGAATCCTACTGAAAGAAGTCTGATGAGGAAATGTGGTGATTTCCGAAATAGCTATCACTTCTACCATTTTTTCAAATTATTGTTGCTTTCCCACAATAAGTTTTCACTTTAAAACGGCCTCAAGATCATAAAAATTGTTGAATTAAAAAAAAAAAATTAAAAATTGTTTGAGGAAAAGACGTTGAGGAAAATTTGCATGATCAAAATTTGGCAAATTTTCTTTTTAAGGAAAATGTAAATTTCAAGAAAATTGTGTATGTACTTTTGATTCGAAAAAAAAAAATTGAGGAAAATTTGTTAAACAAATAAAAAATAAAGAAAACTTGGAATAAGTAAATTAAGTATGACTTCTTAAGACAATACAATTCTGAAAGAAAAAAACGGGGAAAAATTCAGAAAATTTTTACGAACAATTTGCAAGCGAAAAGTTAAGAAGAAACAGTTCAAGAAAGTTTTGAAGGAATTTTTTTTTTTACAAAAATCACCAAGAAACTTTTGAAAAAGGGACAAAATAATAGAATTCTGAAAATTATTACATGTGCATATTTCTTTTTTTCCCCGTTTTTTTCTTTCAGAATTGT